TGTGCGGCACTTTGGTTTTCCCTAAAAAGAACTTGCCAGTCAGCATGAAGATGTGCCATTAGCTGACAGCCTCCAGCTTCAGCATCTTCAGGATGTGCTGCGTCATTTGAGCTGAAGCCACATCCTTCCCAGGCGGCCCCTACCCACTAACCGAGTATGGCAGATTACAAGAAGCTAGTCATTTGCCTAACGTGGGACCACTCTGCCATGCAGGGCACTCCCCATGGGTTGGCAGAGATTTAGCTCTTCCTACTTAAACCTCCTTTCTTCTCCCTCCCCTCACCTGCCCATCTCTATTTCTTCTCCCTTTTGTATTTCACAGGGTTACCTTCAGGAATCTCTGGCATTGCCAACTTGGGTTTGGCATCTTCTTCCTAAAGCAATGATCCCCAACCTTTCTGACACCAGGGACTGGTTTCACGGAGGACAGTTTCCATGGATGGGGGCAGGGGTGTGAGGGGATGGTTTGGGGATGAGTCAAGTACAATGCCTTTATTGTGCACTTTATTCCTATTATTACATTGTAATATATAATAAAACAATTATATAACTCACCATAATGCAAAATCTGTGGGACTCCTGAGCTGGTTTTCCTGCAACTAGATGGTCCCATAGAGGGTGATGGGGGACAGTGACACCCGATGTGTGTTGCTTATGTCTTCAGTGCTATTTTGGATCATCAGGTATTAGATTCTCATAAGAAGCACACAACTGGGCAGCACCTGTGGCTCAATGAGTAGGGTGCCAGCCCCATATACCAAGGATGATATGTTCGAACCCAGCCCCGGCCAAACTGCAACAAAAAAATAGCTGGGCGTGGTGGGCGCCTGTAGTCCCAGCTATTCAGGAGCCTGAGGCAAGAGAATCGCCTAAGCCCATGAGCTGGAGGTTGATGTGAGCTGGGATGCCACAGCACTCTACCAAGGGTAACATAATGAGACTGTCTCAAAAAAAAAAAAAAACATTTTTTCTGAGATCCCAATTTGGGTGTCACACGTTAATGCCCACCACAAAACATTCACCATGGATGAGGCAAGAGGCAACCAAGTAGAGAAAATGGCTCAGCCAGTTGACAGTATCCACCTTCATCATCAATCACTTGAGAACTGGAAAGGTGTCATGCGAGTAAAGTAGACACCACAGCAGAGGTGTGGGCAACGCACAGGCCCTATAATTACCCCTGCATGTCTTACTTGCCAACAATGGAGAACCATGTTGAGCCCAGGATTCACTTCTCCTCCAGGGACTAACTAAACACCTGGTGGCAAGTTGACTCGACTGGGCCCATTATGTCATGGAAGGGCCAAGGATTCATTCTCTCAGAATAAACACATTTCAAGTAAGCACTTGTCTCTCCTGCCTACTCTTTTCCTCCCAGAGCCACAAACTGGGGAGTAGATTAGCTAATCTGCAGCCATGAACTAACGTAAGACATAGCATCCGACCTGCAAAAGAACAGTAGTGGGCTCATGACCACGGGATGCTGTAGCCAAATGCTATGATAGCCGGCTGGCTGCCAAAATGGTCTGCCAAGGTGCAGCTCAGAGGCAACACTCTGTCACAAACCATGAAGTTGTTCCCCACATGTGTGGAGAAATGGATCTGCAGGACACGGAGAGGACTATGATAACCACAGAGGTGAACCTCTTGGATCTCCCTTCAGGAACATTCTGCTCAGCAGCCAAGAATGCAGTTAGCTGACAGTCTCTAGCTGCAGCACCTTTGAGATCCACTAAGTCTCTGGCCTGAACCCAGGACCCTCTTGGACAGCCCCCAGCCAATGACTGAGCCGTTGTTGCAGGACGGGGACCTCTTCTGTAGGAAATCGTTACACTGGAGCTCCCCTGTGGACTTGCAGGGACGTTCTCAGACATCCTGTGTGTGTACCTGTTCCCGCCCAACCTCTTTCTTCCCCGGCTCCTTGCAGAGGTGTTGGACCTGCTCTGTATCTGAAGACATTCTCCACCTTCTTTGACTCCCCCTTCTTTATATTTCATGGGCAGTTTTGACAGATACATAGTATCTTTCAGAATTTAGCTCTTGCATCTCTAACTCCATCCCAGTATCTTTTTCCTGGAGAATTTAAACCCACACATGTGATAATTAGGTTTTATTTGCCAACCACTATGAGAAAATTAAGGTCCATTTCCCAGTCACCATCACTGTACCAGTGGGCCTCTGTATAACACGGCACAATTATGATGCTCATTAGTGATCTTGATTCATATTATTAGCTACCACACCTGCAAAATGCCCAGTCATTAATTCATAATTGTCACTCAACAATTGTCATTCAACAATGACGTATTAAGTACCTACTCTATACTAGATACTTGCATGGGCCATGGAACTACAGCAGTAAACAAAAGAGAAAAAAGCCCTTCTCTTCTTCATGGAACTGACATTCCAATGGGGCAGCCAGACAATAAAAAAGCTAGATGACCAGAAAATGCATATCTGCCCTACATTTCCTTTCTTCCTCGATGGAATTGCCTCACAGTAGGTTAGTCTCAGCTTTTTATTATGCATCAATATAAGAAAGAGCCATATGTAAAATCTCTGCTGCGTTTGGGGGAGGGGGAAAAAACTAGAATGGCAAGGTGTTAGTGAGGATTTTTAAATGAAATTCAGTGAAGGAAGAAAAATACTCTTCTGCATAATAAGCCAAAAGCTGTGTGGGGATTGCCATAAGTGTATTGGAAAGAGACAAAGAGAGAAAGAGAAGCCAATGTGAAGACAGGCAGAGGCTGGAGCTTCCAGAGGGAATGGAGCCCTGCTGGCACTTTGGTTTCAGAGTTCTGGCCTGCAGAACCGTGACAGGATACATTTCTGGAGCTACAGGCCACCAGTGTGTGCTTGTTGGCTACAGCAGCTATAGAAACTAATACACCAAGTTTATAATTTGTCTTATGTAATTTTTTAAACTAAGATACAATTTACATATCATAATTCATTCTTTTAAAGTTTATAATTGATTTTTAGAGCAGTCACAAGTTGTACAACCATTACCCCTCTCTACTTTCAGAACATTTTCTTCACTCTCAAAGAAACCCTCTACCCATTAGCAATCACTCCCTGTTCCCTCTTTCTTTGTCTCCTGGCAACCACTGATTTACCTTATGTCTCTACAAATTTGTTCTGCACTTTTCCTATAAATGAAATCACACAGTATGAGCCTTTTTGATCTGGCCTCTTTCTTTTTCTCTCTTTTTTTTTTTCTTGAGACAGAGTCTCACTTTGTCACTCTCAGTAGAGGGTCATGGCATCACAGCTCACAGTAGCCTCAAACTCTTGGGCTCAAGCGATTCTCTTGCTTCGGCTTCCCAAGTAGCTCGGACTACAGGCACCCTCCACAACACCTGGCTATTTTCTTTAGAGACGAGGTCTTGCTCTGGCTCTGGATGGTCTCAAACTTGTGAGCTCAAGCAATCCACCTGCCTCGGCCTCCCAGAATGCTGGCAGGCGTGAGTCACTGTGCCCAGCCCTAATCTAGCCTCTTTCCTTTAGCACAATGTTTTCAAGATTCATCCATGTTATAACATGACAGAAATTAACCCTTCTAAAAATCCAGTGCTAGGCATTTGAATTTGAGTATATAAATTATATGCATAATTTTATATATGTGTAAATTTTTTTCAAGCCAATCATAAAGAAGAGAAGAAACAAGCTGCATCAATGAATTTTCATCTCAGGACCAAGAAACAGAAAACAACTCACACCCCAAACCAGAGTCTTAAAAGTTAAAAGCACTTTGGGAGAAGTAAGCAGGATCTGGACATCAACATTTTAGGCATTTTAGGGCTAAGTCCACAAGAGAAGCAGAGACACAGCCAGGTGAGAGAGAGGCCCCACCTGGGATCAGGGCTCTATAAAGCACACAGTAGCAAGCACACCAAAGCCAGGGCCTGGCTGGCAGATTCAACCAGGAGAGACACACCAGTCCTTTTGAGATTTAGACAATTTATTTACTACAGAGACAGAGGGTGGCCAAAAGCTCCAGTTCCCTTTGGTCCTTGTCTCACACAACAAAAAAGATAACCCAAAACAAAGGAGCCAGATGATTGCAACATGAACTGTAGAACACCTCATTGCCAAGAAGCTAATTCTAGACTGTAGCCAGGCAGTTTCATAGTCTGCAGCTCTATTCCAAAGGAATGAGGCAAAAAAACTTCATGCCTCCATAGAACCTGGGAGTCCACAAAAAACTCATAGGAGATGGCCTCATAGGAGCAGGTGGCCACAGATCTCCCAGACTCCAGTGCTCAGGGAAAATAATAGTGTTCTGCCAAGACTCAGATTAGCTGAAGCTCTAGCCTTTGCCTGTGTGGCCTATATGGGTATGTGCAAGATCACCACTGCACCATAGTGGAGCTGTTCTCCTACAGTCCCCGAATAGTTTCTATCACTGTGAATCTGATGTAAAGACTCAGTAAACTTCTGGAGTTCTGTATGTGCTCACTTGAAAAGGACAAGAGGAAACCACTCACTCAACCAAACCAACATTCAGTGGGGGAAGCCAGGGAAGCTGAGAATTCCTGGCCTAAAGATCATCTGACTAGTAAACTGCAGATCTAACTAATAGTCTTTCCCACCTCCAACATAGAGAAATTAGTGCCTGGGTTACAGGAATAATGATACCTAACAACATAGTCATGAACCACGCAATGCTTCAGTCAACGATGAACTGCATATACAAAGGTGGTCTCCTAAGATTATAATGGAGCTTGAAAATTCCTATGGCCTTGTGACGATGTAGCCATCACAGCATCCTACTGCGATGCTTGTCCTTGTCTTGATGCTGGTGTCAACAAACCTGCGGTGCTGCCGGGCATGTAAAAGCAGATCTCGTGCAATTACACACAGAACATAGTACTCACAAAGTACATTACAGAATAAAGGTAATTAACAGCTATCTTACCAGTTTATTTATTTACTATAGTATACTTTTTATAGTTGTCTTACAGTGTACTCCCTCTGCTTACTTAAAAAGAAATTCACCTGTGTTCTCTCTGGCAGCACATATACTAAAATTAGAATGATACAGAGATTAGCATGGTCCCTGTGCAAGGATGACAACCAAATTGGTGAAGCAGTCCATATGTATTTATTTATTTATTTATTTTTATTAAATCATAGCTGTGTGCATTAATGCAATCATGGGGTACAATGTGCTGGTTTTACATACAATTTGAAATTTTTTCATCAAACTGCTTAACATAGCCTTCATGGCATTTTCTAGTTATTGTATTAAGACATGTATATTCTATACTTAGTAAATTTAACATGTACCCTTGTAAAATGCACCGTAGGTGTGGTCTCACCGATTACCCTTTCTGCACCCGTCCTCCCCCTTTCCTTCCCTCTCCCCTTTTCCCTTCTTCTTGGGCTATAATTGGGTTATAGCTTTCCTATGAAAGCTATAAATTGGTTTCATAGTAAGACTGAGTACACTGGATTCTTTTTCTTCCATTCTTGAGATACTTTGCTAAGAAGAATATGTTCCAGCTCCATCCATGTAAACATGAAAGAGTTAAAGTCTCCATCTTTTTTAAGGCTGCATAATATTCCATGGTGTACATATACTACAATTTATTAATCCATTCATGGGTTGAAGCATTCCGTATTTAAATTAAAAAATTCACCTGTAAAATAGCCTCAGGCAGGTCCCTGAGGATGTATTTCAGAAGAAGACTTTGTTATTACAGGAGATAATAGTTCTATGTATGTAATGGTCCCCTGAAGACCTTCCAGTGGGACAAGATGTAGAGGTGGAAGACAGTGGCACTGATGACCCTGACCTTATGTAGACCTAGGCTAACGTGTTCATGTCTTAGTATAAAAACAATCTTCTCAATAGAAAAAAGCTTATAGAGAAAGAAAATATTTTTGCACAGCTATACAAATGTGTTTTAAGCTAAGAGTTATGAAAGATTCAAAAAGTCTAAAAAGATTTAAAAGTTTATAAAGTTACCATACACTAAGCCTTGTTATTGAAGAAACTGTTAAATAAATTTACTGTAGTCTGAGTGTACAATGTTTATAAAGTCTACAGTGGGGTCGGGTAATGTGGGTCTTCACATCTCTCGCTGACTCACCAAGAACAACTTCCAGTCTTGCAAGCTCCGATCCTGGTGAGTCTTTAGCAGGGGTACCGTCTTTATCTTTTATACCATATTCTTACTGTACCTTTTCTATGTTTAGATACACAAATACGTTCCCCTGTGTTACAGCTGCCTGCAGTATTCAGGACAGTCACACACTGTGCAGCTTTGTAGCCTGGAGCCACGGGCTGTGCCATACAGCCAGGGCGTGCAGCAGGCTGCACCATCCAGGTGTGTGTAAGTGTACTCCGTGACGTTTCCACAACGACAGGATCATCCTGCACCACATTTCCCAGACTGTCTCGCCATCATTCTGATACAATCTGTGGTTGTGAAGACTGATTTAGATATTCTGTATAAATCTAGCATAATACCTGAGATATTGCAGATGCTCGTGGAATGATAGTTTCTTTCATTCATTAATTTGTTTGTAATTTATTTATTCAACATTTTTTTGAAACTTACTAACAACCAGATATTGAAACAGATGCTGGATGGTAATTGGTGAGCAAAGTAAACAAATGCCCACACTCACTGAAGTCTTCATGCTAGTGGGGAAGACAGGCACACAATAAATAGATGTTTGCAATCATGCCAAGTACAAAGAAGAAAAACCACTCATTATGCTAGACAGACTGAGAGACACAAAAATGTAATGTACACTATAACTATCACTTCAAAGAGTCTATATAACCTAATGAAAGGATGAGATATATGCACATTTTTATAGAAAAATGTAAGACTTTACAACTCAGAATTTCTATTTTGTTTTTCTTTCCAATTTCTCTTTATTGATATTCTGTATTTTGGTGAAACATTATTCTCCTATTTTAATCCTTTAGACATAGATTTCTTTCTTTCTTTCTTTTTTTTTTATTGAATGGTAACTATGTACATTAATGCACATCTGGGGTACAGTGTGGGGTTTTCACACACAATCCGAAACACTTCCATCAAACTGGTTAACATAGCCTTATTTTCTTAGTTATTATTTTAAAACATTCACATTCTACTCTTAGAAAGATTCACTTGTACCCTTGTAAGATAAACCTCAGAAATGATCCCTCCAATCTCCCTCTGTCCCCCCATTCCCGCCTTCCCTCTCCCTCCCCCCTCCCCGTATTCTTAGGCTGTTATTAGGTTATAGCTTTCATATAAAAGGTATAAATTAGTTTCACAATAGGGGTGTGTACATTGGATACTTTTTCTTCCATTCTTGTGATACTTTGCTAAGAAGAACATTTTCCAGCTCCATAGACATGGATTTCTTTAGGTCTTTATTTTTATATGTTTATAATGTTAATATTTATAAATTTTAATTATTCTATTTATATTAAATATATATATATTTTTTGGAGAGAGAGTCTCTTTATGTCACCCTTGATAGAGTGCCGTGGTGTCACAGCTCACACCAACCTCAACCTCTTGGGCTTAAGTGATTCTCTTGCCTCAGCCTCCCAAGTACCTGGGACTACAGGCACCCGCCACAACTCCTAGCTATTTTTTTGTTGTTGCAGTTGTCATTGTTGTTTAGCTGGCCCAGGCCAGGTTTGAACCCTCCAGCCTCGGTGTATGTGGCCGGTGCCCTACTCACTGAACTGCAGGTGCCAAGCCTATATTATATATTTAATAGCTGGATTAAGGCCTTTGTCTAGGAAGTCCAACACCTTGGGGACAATCTCAACTGACTTTTTTTCCTGTGCATTGGCCATACTTTCCTGTTTCTGTGCATATTTCAAAATGTTTTATTGAAAACAGGATTATTTTAGATAATGCGATGTGACAACCCTGGAAATCAGATTTCCTCACCCCATTGCTGTTATTGCTGTTTTGTTCCCTATTGCTGCTTTGCTGCTGCTGCTGTTATTTATTACTATAGTGACCTTCCCCACACCGTACAGCTACTAAATTATCTGCTCCATTAGCTCAGTGGTCAGCTAATGATTAGACAGAGATTTCCTTAAATGACTTGCACCATTCTGTCCTTTGCAGAACATGTTAGACATGCCTTGAACACTCAGGCAGCTTACAAGTCAGCCTTCGTCTTCACTTCCTGCTTGCAGAACCTCTCCTTGGCTGGAGGTGAGAGACTGGAGCCCCTCCTGGTCTTTGCTAGGTATGCATAGAGCCTTGCATATTTATGCTACCTTTTAGATCCTTAGGAATGTATCAGAGCTTTTCAAAGCCCTCAATACTGTGTTCCCCAGAACTTTCTTTCAAACTTTGGCCAGCCTGGTGTTTCCTCAGCTGGCATCAGTCTTGGGCAGCTGATATTAAACAACTGTCACTAGTTGTTTTTAACAAATGCCCTAAGGATGGGGCTGTTCAGCAGAGTGGATGCCAATCAGGACAAAAAATGCCAACTCCTCTCAAATGGGGCTTTTTCAGGGAGCTGCAAGACATGTCAAATAGCACCACTGTTTTTGGCATAGGACTTTTTGAGGAGCTCCATATGTGCTCTGCCCCACTGGTCCTGCAAAGCTACCGATTTTCACAGCTATTGTGATTGCACGATTGCTCATCTTCAAGGCTATGGCAAAGCTGAACAGAGGGGTCATGGGAGCAGAGCAGTTTACAATATCACAAAACTCATTATTCTTAATGAGATTCATCAGTTTTTCTCGAATAAACACTCCTCAGATTACAACCCTTTAGTAAATGTCTAGAGTTGTAAAAAGTGGATTTGGGCCATTTTCGCAAGTGTTTTTGTTGCTTTTATAAAGGGACAGATTTACAGAGGACCTCATTCCATCATTCCAGAATCCCCAGCCTTTTGAAAAATAATTGTGGCATCAGATGATGTTAAGCCTAGTTTAGTGGCCACAGTAGTGAAGACAACAAATGTGGGAAATTTTTAAGTAAATATTCAATAGCATTTTGTATTAGATATGGCATCCAGAAGCAAAGAGAACATGAATGATACTGAGCCTAGCCTACCCTGTCATTCCCTCTGACCCATCTGAATTATGTTCATTTGGAGGTTGGCAATTCACAGCAAAATGAACGCCTTAAGGGATAGGCCCTCTTCCTTTACTCAGGATGAACTCTCACAGCCTCCACTTATCATCGTGCACTGGCATCTCTGGCAAATATTTCTTGAATTTATTTTCATACAAGTTTACTGTGATTGTGATTCAAGAGAATAAGAAAATTACTTCAGCATGGGACGTTAAACTCCAAGTACTATATAATACTAACTGTTCTGTATGTCCAAGAGGAAGACAGGTCACATAATGAAGACTAACTCAGAATGGTTTTTCCTCTAGACAGGCAGTTAGGAAAGAAAATCAGGCTTCACAGCCATTCCACCGAGTAATTTTAATTCAAAGAATCTGCACTAAAAATAATGTAAGCATTTATTCTGTTATATAAAAGATCTGTTGCTACAACACACCTGTATACAAGTAAAAAGAATTTTTGTCCATAGTTTCACCTATGGCAAGTGAAAATAGCTATTTTATGACTAAAAAGGATACAAAAAGTAATAACAGCTGTTCCACAGAGTTTAAATTTGCCTAACCTAAACCACATCATTTAGAATCAGTATAGTCAATAATAACTAAGAAACCGGTCATCCTTCAATTAGCACTTAAAATGTAGTGGCCATTTTTTTCTGCAAAATAACTCTCATTAGCATCTTTAGTTCAAGAGGAACTCATACATTTCAGTTTTGTTTTCATTCAGCCATTTCAAAGCTTCTTTGTGTTTGCCCAGATCTTACATGATCATCTAGTATAGCCCCCAAAATGCCCCAACTCCAAATGTATCCTGGAAGTTGTTACTGACTACACTAGGCAATTTAGGGTTACTGAGATTTGCTCCTCATAAGACCATCACACACTGTCAGAAAACATTCCAAGTTTGGCCTGACTTTTTTTCTCTATAAGACCAAAAAGAACAACGTTGTAGCCCTGCTAGGTTATAGATATGTTAAGCAGTAACCACAGTGTGAAAACCTGCAAATTAGGTATCAGGGCAAAGTGGTTTGTTGATTGTATGGAGC